AAAATATTCTCTAAAAACTAGGCTGGTTATTTGCTTCTACTTTCATATTACCCAAATATCTTGACCTACCATCTTATTTTGCCTAACAGGAAAATATTTTCACTTGCCCTCTAATGCCTCAGTAAGCACAATCCCACTTTCTCACCACCTACTCTGACACATCACACACACATGATAAATAAGATAAAAATGGGAATAAATGTTTCAGCTTTCCTGGAAACTAAAATCAGTACAGATGTTAGCGCTTTATAGTTCAGTTCTGTACATTCTGGTGTGCACTGAGATCAAGTCTGCTTTTGAATACTATCAAACATATATATGGCCAGTGAAGAAATGATCTTGATAAAGTAATTATAAAAATAAACTTTTAAATCTTTCTTCATTAATTTAGTTTTTAATAAGTAAAGAAATTATCTTTAAAGATCTATTTTGTGGATAAAGAATATCTGCATTTTTAAATATTTTCTATTCTCTAATAACTGTTAGTTTCAAAGAGATTTGAATTGTGGAAATTCATAAGGAATACTACTTCTGATATATTTTGTTAGAGGAAAAAGTCTTTCAAATTTCCTTCTAGATACTCCAAAAAACAGATTCTAAGAAAACATCTCTTCCTATATATATTTTCCTGGATTATATTTTTATATTTATATATTTGGGATTATATTTATATATTTGGGATTCAATTGCCTCCTTTTCTCTTTTTTAAAACAATATTTCATTTATGTGGAGGCCTTGAAACAATAAAGTTGACCTAAAGATTGAAAAGTGCACACCGGAAACAAGTTAATGCATGGGTCTCCTTCTCTTTCCATGAGGCAATGCAGAATGTATTTATTCTATTCCATAGTTATCAAATCTACTTGTGGTGTCTCATAGATTTGGAGTGGGACAATGAAGCTTAGTGTTTCTTCTGGTCTCAGCTTGTCTTCTAGTTCAAAATTAGAATTTGAATTACATAATATAGAACAAATAAAAATCTTGAAGAACAGCATGAACCTAAACCTTCTAGCCAAAAGGTGGGATACAATGTCATCATAGAGAATTAGGAATTGCTTAAGGCCAAAAAGTTGAAGAAAAGGATGTAATTAATTTTAAGGAGTATTTCTGTTTTAGAGGATTCATGAATGAAAGCAAGATGATGCTCTATTTGTGAAAGCAAGATGATGTTCTATTTGTGAAAAAAATAACCACCTTTGAAAAATTCTTATTGGTATGGAAATAATGCATAAAGAAAGATTGAAAGTAAAGGAGGCATTTAAAATACCCACTGAGTAATAAACTACATTCTTTTTCTCTTGTAAATATTTCTAAATTGGAAGTTTGATCATCAGATAAACAGCAGTGTCCTAGGATCTTTTGGCTTTGCATTAGTAGTCTACTTTAAGAATCAAAATAGGAAAACTTTGGAGTGAAATAAACCTTAATGAAAAGCTTTGTGAAACCAAGAGGTGGCAAGAGGCAGCTCACAATATAGTCATGCTCTTTGGTAAGTCAGGCACACTTTATCTCTCTAACATTTCATTTTAGGAGGCAAAACTGGTTCAAGGCAAATTATATTCAGAGAGTTCTCTCATAAGTAATAACAAAGAATTCATATGATTAGTGAACTTTTTTTATGTCTGGAACATTTTAAACATTTTAATGTCCAGTTTCTTTTTTTCCTGATACACACTATTGTAACTAATGTTACCTAGGACAAAATAACAATGAAAATGAGTATTTCTTTTAATATATGCTCAAATCCTGCCTCAAAAAGAACATTCACTTTAGTATATAGCTTATGAAAATAGTTTTTTAAAGTATGGAAGACAATACAGAGGAAATACTAAGAAGATAATGACATCAAAATTATCTGCACTTCTTCCTAATTTACTGTATACCAGACACAACTTATTATTTTCCCTTTTTTCTACCATATTTGCGAAAATTTGGTAAGTCAAGGATAAAATGGAGAGTCATTCTACATTGAAAGATAATAAATAAATAAATAAGAAACAAAACAAAATGATCCTGCTATTAAGAAAATCAGAGCAGATTTCTGTTTACATTTTGCAATCTGAGCTAAATAATGCTAGTTACAAAATTTGCCACTTTATTACTAATATACTAAAAATAATCAACCTCATTACTCACTTCATCTGAATTACAATAAATTTCTATGCAATTTTATTGGCACAGGTACAAATTTTAACTACTATGGTAGACTTGCCTTGAAGATAAACTAACAGAAGCTCTAACTAAAGAAATACACTTTCCCTGGTAAAACTGCTCATTATGAAATATTTTCATTCTTACAATGATATGGACCTAAGATCTCTTGTTTTAAGAATACCAAAAATATAAAAAAGCCAAACCTTTAGAATCCTACCTGTAACAAGAAAGCTGCATCTCCCGGCTCCAGCTTCATTTATGATGCTACAGTTATAAACCCCATAGTTTTCATTGGAAAGACTCTTCACTGGGTATTCTGTGTATTCCTGAGAGTCGAACTGACCCGTCCGTAATAACTTATTGCCCAAGCGCCACTCATAGGTCAGCACCCGGATTGGATAGGCTCTCAGTACCCTGCAGCTCATGGTGACACTTCGGTCCTGTCCTTGCCGGATTTCTAGAAATGCTGGTTCCACAGCAGGGGGATCTGTAGAAAAAATATATTAAAATAGATGAATGAGTCTTGCAATAAGCCATTCATATTGGCTATTCTTATTATGATAATCTATTCTTAAGAATATAGTCTGCAAAGAAGGAGGATAAGAGGTGGGTGGAGAATATATTTAGGCCCAGGAATTTTGGCTATGGCTAGGAAATGTGATTTGCTGAGTGTGGGCAGTAAATAAGCCTCATTGCTTTACAAAAGCATTTGCAGGTGAAACAAGCAGAGCTATTTATTTTTTTCTTTCTGTTTTCCAGAAAAAAAAATTGTCATGACTATTTATATTGCCAGCCACCAAATGTTGTTCTTGATATGAAATGCAGAATAAAGCGGGGGTTTCAACTTGTTTTAGGCTTTTTTGATTTTTATTTTTTCCCCTGTGAGGCACAGTCCATGGGCTTCTGGATACTCACTATTTAATAAAGTAGGCAACACAATTATATACATTTATTTTCTAAATTATTTGTTATGATATTATTTGTAAGTCAGAATATTCATTTGTAAATTTTAAGCAAACTTTGCAAATCATACCACAGGTGGAGGTGGTTTTCAACCCATTGCAATGGCTCATTTAGCTGGTGTAGTTGTGATTTGTTTTTTCAAGTAATTAAAATTTTCTACATTAGGTACCTAATCTTGTTTTTTTTTTTTAATGCTAAGATTTCCAGTATTTAAACTGCATCCATTTAAAGTATATAAAATACACTTCTTTTATTATTAAAGGTGTAAAAATATAGTCCTTGTCTTAAAAGTCTCAATTATCATAATAAATTAAACTTCTTTCCTGAGCTGTAATTATGTGATTCACTCATTCTGTCAAACTCTCTACAACCACTAAGGAGTACATTTCACAACATAATTTCCTCTCTTTTTTTTTTTTTTTTGGTACTAGGATTAAACTTAGGGGCACTCTACCACTGAGACACATCCTGACCCTATTTTGTATTTTATTTAGAGACAGGGTCTCACTGAGTTGCTTGGTGCCTCACTTTTGCTGAGGCTGGCTTTGAACTCAAGATCTTCCTGCCTCAGTCTCCCTAGTCACTGGGATTACAGGGATGCACCACCATGCTTGACTCAAAATTCCCTCTTTAATTAGATGTACATGCCTCCCCCATGAGTTATGTTGTATAAAATTTGTACAACTGTATTCAATGGGCCTTACTTCAAAATGCTAAATGGTTTTAAGACTACAACACTATGAGTGCCTAATATAATATTCTTTACATGTTATTTCATCTGTGTTTTTTTGTTTGTTTGTTTGTTTTAAGTAATATTGGCATCACTTCTTATTTTTAATATTGGACTTATCTTTCTTACTACTTTCAGTAGATGATTTTAAGATGCCTTATTCATTTCAATATTATCCATTCTCTCAATTTTTTTCTTTAAGCCTTTTTTCAAAAAGTGCTAAGAATATTTCAAAAAATGTGCAAGGAAAAACAAAAACAAACAAAAAACTCCTGCCTTCACATACTTCATGACAACACAGAAGGCAGACATTTAGAAAACATACACAATTAAATTATGAAAATAATTCCAGGTAGAAAGTAACGAAGAAGTGAATGATATCATGAGGACTGACTAAGCAAGCAATTTTAAGAAAGGGGATATTCAAGCTGTGTCTTCCAGATACACAGGACATAGTCAGATAGGTACTCAGTAACTGAGAGGGCCTTCCTGAGAGAGCAGTAGGTGCTTGAGGAGGTAGGGGGAAGGGAGGGAATTTCAGAAAAATGCAAGTGGAGTAGCATAGTAGATGCGCAAAAGACCATGAAGACTTGGGAAGAATAAACAAGGAGAGGCAGAGAGTCTATTTAAGGATCTTGAGTGTCATGCTATGGAGTTTTGAGTTTTATCCTGTTTGTATTGGCGAAACTAAAAAAAAAAAAAATTCAATAAAAGATATACACGATAAAATTATTATTATTGATGTTTGTGTTAGCTTTTCATCACTATAATCAAAATACCTGACATAAGCCATTTAAGAAGAAAAGATTTAGTTTTGCTCACAGTTTCACAGTATTCAGTCCATGATTGGCAGACTTGAAGGCAAAAACATCATGGTGGAAGGGCATGGCAGAGGATAAAGAGGACAGAGACTAATGGTGAAGGGGAGAGAGAGGGAGAAAGAGAAGGGGGAGAGAGAGTGAGAGGGGGAGTGGGTATGGGGGGAAAGAGGGAGAGAGAAAGAGAAGGGGAGGAAAGGGACAGATATAGTCCAAGGCCATATCCCCAATGACCTATTTCCCCAGCTACATGCCACTTGACTTTGGTTTTCACCCAGTGGTTTATTCAAATTATTAATCCATAAAATTAGTTTACTGATGGGATAATATCATTTATAATGTGATTATTCACCTC